TCTGGTAGCGTAGTGGTTACGAATCGGGCTGCAAACCTTAAGGTCAGCGGTTCGAAACTACCAGCTGCTCCGCGGGAGAAAGATGAGGCTTTCTACTACCGTAAGGATTTATACCCTCGGAAACCCTGTACAGGGTCGCTATGGGTCGGAACCGACTCGAAGGCACGCAGCCACAGCCAGCCACTATTGTAAAACAGACACTTGAGTGGGCTAGAAAGGAATGTTGGGAAACATGATTACAGAAAACTTGTAAGCCCGCCTTCAGCCTATAACTGATTGGAATACCTAAAAGAGGTTCTACAACTTGTCCTGGGAAATAGGCCTCATGCAAAGCCTTTACAGAGTATAGGACCTTAGGTGAAATCCTGAGTCCCATCCACAACCTTGTGAGATGAGACATTCCCACTAGAAAGGACAAGCAGACTGGAACAGCTACAGTGACAGAAGGTACATCTTCATGATGAACCTGACCTATACTCAGAGCGGTAGTTACTCTAAATACCAACAGAGAGGGAAACAGTCTTCACATCAAGTATCAATGCTATCCTTTGAGCACAGGGTAGGTAGGGACGGGCAATCCGAGACGTTGGCTACCTAAAATGAGGGGGCAATAAAGGCACGAAGTGACTGGCTTACAAGGTTTCAAGAGGGAGTTTAAGAGTATTAGGGGAAAGAAAGAGTCCCCACTGAATACCTGTCATCTTGTCTAGATAGGTCTGGTGAAAAGAGATGGGGATAACATTTGTAAGATTCAATAGTGAATAACTGTTATCATGACTAATCGCGACTGTCACAATTGTAAAGGTAGAAGTTTTGTAACAAAAAATGCAGAGTGGTTAATCTTACAGTCCAGAATCAGAGGACCGTAGGACCATCAAGAGAGGAACACACAAGCAGAATGCGGGACCTTATCCAGAGAAGCAGCAGCGCCAGAGATGGGGGCAAGGAGAGGGGGAGCAGCTGAGGACTCTAGATTCATGGACTAGGAAGAGAAGGACTAAGAGCTGGTGGCCAGTAGCAGACTTGCAGAATGTGCCCTTTGGAGATGTAAATTATTATATATGCCTGAATGGGTTTTTTTTGTTGCTTATTTTTTTAAAAAGCTAAAGTGGATAGAGAGAAATACTGTTAACTGATGGGACATGGAGAGGATTATAATCAATGTAATGAAACAAGGTATATGATTTGTTGAATATAAAACTGATAATATGCCCTGTAAACTTTCACTCAATCCATAATTAAAACCTTAAAAAAAAAAAAAAAAAAAAAAAGAGAACCAAATGCATCTTCTAGAAATGAATAATATACCTGAAATAAAAATTTCACTGGGTAGAATTAACAGTAAATTAGTACCAGTACTGCAGAATGAAAGACAAGGAAATTTAAGTCCTAGCAATAGAAACTATAAAATAAAGCACAAAAAGAAAAGTGGATAAAACTACGATTAGAGTAAGTGGTCTAACCCACGTGTGTAAATAAAACTGCAAGGTGAGAAAGAACTTCCTCCAGGCCACTTGACAACAGTCTTCTGAATAAATCAGTATTCTCAGCAGGAGGCATGTTGTTGTTAAGTGCTGTTGAGTCAGTCCTGACTTGTAAGGAACACCTAGTGTTTCTAAGGAACACCTAGTGAGCTTGAAGCACTGACTTGCAGTTCAAACTGGCTTTGCAGTCCAGTGCATTAATCCACAGTGCCACATTAGGACTCCAGCAAGAGGCATAGAAAAGGAAAAATAAATGTTGGATTTGTGGTAGGTAATGGGACATTATTATTTTGTATTGCATGTTGTGTATTGAAATATATCTTACAACAAAGTACTCTTTTTATCAGTTCCTAAATGTTTTCTTAAGGAGCTCTGGTAGCGTAGTGGTTACGAGTTGGGCTGCCAACCTCAAAGTCAGCAGTTCGAAACTACTAGCGGTTCCATGGGAGAAAGATGAGGCTTTCTGCAAAGATTTACAGCCTCAGAAACCTGTGCAGGGTCACTATGAGTCGGAACCGACTCCACGGTACTTAGCAACAATAACAAATGTTTTCTTGACCTTATATATAATTAAGCAAAGCAGACATTACTGTTGTTGTGTGAAATTGAGGAGGTTCCAACTCATAATGACTTTGTGTAGGGTTTCTGAGAGTGACTAGTTGGTTTGAACTACCCACCTCGTGTTTAGCAGCAGTGCTTATCCTATAGCATCATACTAGGACTCAGTCAGACATTAAGTAGGGGTATATTCCACGAATGGATTCCTGTTTTACATGTTAAAATATTTGTGTTGTTATTTAATTTCCAAGAACTGACCATCTCTGGCATTGTTGTTGTTAAGTGCCGTTGAGTCATCCTGACTCTTAGTGACCCTGTATAGAGTTTCTGAGAAGTGGCTAGTGGGTTTGAACCAATGACCTTGTGGTTCAAACTGACCTTGCAGTCCAGTGCATTATCCTGCAGCACCTCACCACGACTAAGTAGAGCTATATTCCATGAATGAATTCCTGGTTTTCATGTTGTGAAAATATTTTGTATTGTTACTTAGCTTCAGAAGAACTGACCATTGCTGGCATGACTTTTACAACTTTTGATCTGGGTGGACATGTTCAAGGTAAGATTTTACTACTGTTACAGTCTCTTTGTTCTATTTGGACGTAATAAAAATGTGATCATTATGTTCCAATGCATGAAATCTCATTTTCTTAATACAAGGCCAGAGTAGACTTATATTTTAAGAGTTACTTACAGACTCCTTAGGAATTATTTCCCCTTGGGCAAATGCTTTAAAAACAAAGACTGATTTTCATGCTGCCTTGCCTAGTTAATTTATTTGATTATGAATTGCTGTTAGTGGTCAGGCATATGAGTCACTTTTTTCCTTCATTCTCTTTGCTCTAGTTTACCTCTCACTTTTGTAACCACTGTTCTGAACATATTACTTCTCCATAAAAAAGCCTCCAGGCTTTTGCTCAATACATACAAAAGAAAGGCCAAACCCGCTGGAATTTAGTATCTCTGTGAACTTGTTCCAGTTTACTTTTCTCCTCTTCATTCCCATTATTCCTCTTCCTAGTCTCCTTGTCCTCTGGGTATTCTCTCACCTCTGTGCTGGTGCATCTACCAGCCCTGTCTGCACATGAGTAACCCCTTTAGGGAAGCCATTCCCCTGTGTGAGTCATCTCAACTGTATGTAAGTCCTTCCACACGGCTTAGCACACTTGTATTTGTGTCTAGAACAATTTGAAAAGACTTCTCTACTAAACTTTCTGGGACTAATGTCCTGCTCATTTTTATTATCTCCTAAAGTACTTGTCATAGCCTAGCACATAGTAAGTAATAACTAATGAGTATTACAGAGTTATTTTGTACTCTGAAAATGTGATATGATATGTAGTTGAAAAGATTGTGAGTGGTTGTGGCAAATGAAAACAGATGCATTTGAGACATAAGAATTGTTTGAAATAGATGTAAGTTCATTTGTAGAATACAATGATTAGAGAGAATTGGAACCTAATGGAGTTTATCTGAGAATTCATTACTATATTGTTTCAAGGTATGTCACAAAACTCAAGTTACAGAAAAAAGTTATTTTCCCCTAGGGTATCCCCTAAACTGTTTTATCCTCTAAAGAGGAGTGCCTTGGGAAAACTCCCCTTATGATTTCATAGACTTTAGTTAATTATTAATATTGAAGCTTGTTTTCTATTATGAGTAAAACAGTTTGCTTTTGTTAAACTTAACAAGCTTATACCTAATACTGATTTCCTTCTGCCACTCACTCCAAATTTATCATTGGGAAAATGCTATAATCAGCTAGAAATGTTTTTGTTTTTGTTTTTTAAAAAGACTACTGCATATAAATACATCTGTACATAGCTGCGAACCGTAAGGCCAGCAGTTCGAAACTACCAGCTGCTCTGTGGGAGAAAGATGAGGCATTCTGCTCCCGTAAATATTTACAGCCTCGGAAACCCTATACAGGGTCGCTATGGGTCGGAACCGACTCGACGGCACTTAACAACAACATACATATATGTACTCTGTAATTTTTTAACTGCTTGTATTTTACATTTTCCGAGATTGGCCTGGTGATCTGCTTCTGAGCAGTCACAGCCTTGAACCCTCTGGAACAGTTCTACTCTGTACACATAGGGTCACCAGGACTCAGAATAGATCTGACCAGCAACTAATAATAACTACAACATATTTTAGATTTATGTAATAGTAGTCCTCCAATGAACTTAATGTGCATTTTCCAATGGTTGTTGTTGTTCAAGTGCCGTCAAATGGATTCTGACCCATAGCAACCTTTATAGAGTTTCCAAGGAGCAACTGGTGAGCTTGAAGCACCAACTTGCACTTCAAACCTACATTGCAGTCTAGCACATTAACCCACAGCACCACACACTCCTATCCAATGGTGGTGGTGGTTGTTATGTGCCATCAAGTCGGATCCAACTCATAGCAACCCAGCATACGGTTTTTCGAGGAGCAGATGGTGAATTTGAACCGCCGACATTGCAGTTCAAACCAACCTTGCGTCCAGTGCATTATCCCATGCAAATGCTAAATTTTATTTCTTATAAGGAAAAATTGGGGCAGAGTAAAGTATTTGACTTTCCCACAGTTGACGAAAACTTGAAATTTTCTTTTTGATCTTCTGGAAAAATTCTGATACCATTGGGTCAAAAACGATTAACTTGACTACATGGTAAAGTAGTAGCAGTTAAGGGGTAACTACACTTTATTATCTTGTTGGGCTCTTCCATCAAGCTATTTGCTAGATTTAATCAGCAAATAAATTCTAACTCCTCCATTGTTTTTGTTAGCACGAAGAGTATGGAAAAATTACCTTCCTGCTATCAACGGCATTGTATTTCTGGTGGATTGTGCAGACCATGAAAGGCTGTTAGAATCAAAAGAAGAACTTGATGTAAGTTAAATTAACTAAAACGAAATGTAGTTAAAGTCACTCTAGTGGGTCTGAGGAAATAGATTGGCAATGTATATGTCTGAGTGCAGCTTTTTTTTTTTGCAGTCCCTGATGTAATTTGCTGTGCTCAACTATTACCTTAAGTGATTCTTTTACTTAGAATGCTGATAGAGCAACTTGGAGACACTGTAACTGTTTGGGAAATATTAACATGGAGTTTCTTCCTGAAGACTTGAGGAGCTCACCCTGTGCAGTATGCCCTTGTTGTATATTCGTCTGCTACATTCCTGGAGTGGGTTGGTTTGAGTCCCTTGGTCATCCTTAGATGTCAGTTTTATCAGAACCTGGATGACGTACCGTATTTGTCACTACTCCTAGGAGTAAGCAAGGACATGGATATTTACCTCATCTCCTTTTGTCTGGCCAGATATTTTCTAAAAGATCTCCAGGTCAGCTGTCAAGGTCAGTATTAGAGCTGGGCCACAGAGAAAGTAGGACTTGGCCATGCTCCTGCCAAGAGCAGGCAAGCATATACTTGTTCATGTGGCCAGGTACGTTCTGTGTTCATAGAACAAAGTCAGGGAATTCCTGAGTTCTCACTTTGTGCCAGACACTGTGCATCTATTACGTCGTTTAATTCTCAGATCAACTTCAGAAGATAGGTACTGCTAGTCCCAGTTCTTTCTGAAGTTCAAACAGGCTACAAAGTCAAACAGCTCAGAAGCAACGGAACCAAAAATTAAACCAGGTTGGCCACATCCAAGGTATTGGCTCTAGCCATGGTACTTCTAATGTACAGAGTCAACATTTACAGAAACAGCCTTAAGAAGACAGAAGAAATGAATTTATGGTTTCCTTTTCCTCACTTTAAAATGTAGGGAAAGTTTGCTAAAGGAAATTGGTAAAGTTGATATGGGAGAAAACAAGTCCTTAACTAATTTAATGTCTTGTCAAAATAAACCTTCTAGATGATTTCATATCAATTTCTCTCTCTCTCTTTTTTATTTTCAGTCACTAATGACAGATGAAACTATTGCTAATGTGCCTATCCTGATTTTTGGGAATAAGATTGACAGACCTGAAGCGATCAGTGAAGAGAGGTTACGAGAATTGTTTGGTTTATATGGTCAGACAACAGGAAAGGTAAATAAATTTATTTATTTTTTGGACTGGTGTGGGTTTTTTACTCTATGGTATAAATACCTTCTTAAATTATTTGTGTAGTCCCAACTACACAAACCCATTATTATTTTTTTGTTTTTTTCTCCTTAAGGAAAAATAAAACTGCCATTGATACCATTGGATCTTTTTCAATATCTTCATTTCTTTTCTTTGTATCACTGTATGAAACATTTTCAGGATGATAGCAGAATATCATCTTGTTATCATCCAGGTTCAGTTACATCCAAGGCTATTGTTTATGGGAAACTAAAGCTTTTGAAGTTTTGTTTATTATAAATTTTCAGTTAACCACTAAATACTATACTTGAGTGTTCAAACCGTGTTTGTGTCCTGAGTGCACTAGGGATAAATAAGACATAAACATGGACATTGGAGTATTTAGGGTTTTTGAACTATACTATTTTTGAACAATAACTAACTAAGGCACATTATTTTTACTTTTTTTAACTTGAAAAACTTTTATCTGATTTGGTTTATAATACCTAAAAGGAGTCCTGTAGGATAAGCACTGGACTGTGACTACAAACGGCAAGGTCAGAAGTTCATACTCATATGCCACCCAGTGGGAGAAAGCTGTGGCTTTCTGTACTCGTAAAGATGGACAGCCTCGGAAACCGTGTACAGTGTCGTTATAAGTCGGAATTGACTTGATGGCAGTGGGCTGAGATAATACCTGAGTATTCATTGAACTTAATTTGTTGTTGAGAATACGCACAGTAAAACGTAAGCCAGTTAACCATTTTCAGCATGTATCAGTGACAATGATTACATTCTTAAGAGTTGTGCAGCCATTCTTACCCTTCTTTTTTTTTTTTTTCTCTTCTGCGGATTGAGTGAAAGTTTACAGGGCACATCATCAGTTTCACATTCAACAATTCATATAACTTGTTTCATTACATTGGTTATAATCCCCTCCATATACCATCAGTTAAAAGTATTTTTCTCTATCCACTTTAGCTTTTTTAAAAAACACACAAACAAAAAACCCACTCAGGCATATATAATAATTTACATCTCCAAAGGGCACATTCTGCAAGTCTGCTCCTGGCCACCAGTTCTTAGTCCTTCTTTTCTTAGTTGATGAATCTAGAGTCCTCAGCTGTTACCCTTCTCCATGCCCCCATCTCTGCCTCCATCTCTGGCGCTGCTGCTTCTCTGGATAAGGTCCTGATTCTGTTTGTGCGTTCCTCTCTTGGTGTTCCTAGGGTCCTCTGTTTCTGGACTGTAAGATGAACCACTCCCCTTTTTTTTGTTAAAAACTTCTACTTTTACAATTGTGACAGTCGCGATCAGTCTTGATAACAGTTATTCACTATTGAATCTTACTAATCTTATCCCCATCTCCTTTCACCAGACCCATCTAGACAAGGTGATAGCTATTCAGTGGGGACTCTTTCTTTCTCCCCACCCTCTTAAACTAAGCTCCCTCTTGAAACCTTGTAAGCCAGTCACTTTGTGCCTTTATTGCCCCCTCATTTTAGGTAGCCAATGTCTGAGTTGCCCATCCCTATCTACCCTGTGCACAGAGCAGATAGCACTCATACTTGATTTGAAGACTGTTTCCCTCTCTGTTGGTATTTAGAGTAACTACTGCTCTGAGTATAGGTCAGGTTCATCATGAAATCTTCTGTCATTGTAGCTGTTCCAGTCTGCTTGTCCTTTCTAGTGGGAATGTCTCATCTCACAAGGTTGTGGGTGGGACTCAGGATTCCACCGAAGGACCTATACTCTGTAAAGGCTTTGCATGAGGCCTATTTCACTGGGCAAGTTGTAGAACCCCTTTTAGGTATTCCAATCAGTTATAGGCTGAAGGTGGGCTTACAAGTTTTCTCTAATCAGTTTCCCAACATTTCTTTCTAGCCCACTCAAGATTCTATTTTATAATAGTAGGCAAGGGAAACTAATATTCATAAGGCAGTCAAGGATTTTAGTATTATTTCCCCTTTTCAAGCTATACCTAGATCCCTTTATCCCAGAGCCCTGTTGTTCCAAGGTTGAGTGTGCATCACTATTTACCTCTGTCCCACTAGGCCATGTAAACCTGTCTCAGTGTTCCCCGATCTATCTTGTTCTGCCTCCTCTTCCCTTCTTGTATTGCCCTCCCCAACACCCAAAATAAACCCCCACACCAACCCCATTTTGGTTACCTTATATTATATTCCATTAGTTCTTCCCTTCATTTAAGATAGTAATCTACCTGACCGTCCCACCACCTGGATCTCTGTTCTGTGTTTACCTTCTTTTCATATTGTAATTGTTTTGATCATAGACTGACCTCCCAGAACCTCTGTTCTTATCATTTTATTCTGTTCTTGACTCTTTGATTTGTTGACTGAGTTCAGGTTGGTGCTCCATGTACGTCGTTTTGTAGCTGTTATGTGTTCTTGTTGGTTCTTAGTCCACAGAACTCCCTTTAGGATGTTTTCCATAGCAGGGTTGGCTTTGGCAAAATCCTATAGCTTCTGCTTAGCCTGGAATGCTTTGAGTACACCATGGTATTTGATTGACGGCTTTGCTGGATAGAGGATTCTTAGGTGGCAGTTTTTTTCTTTCAGGGTTTTATATATCTCTCCCCATTGCCTTCTTGCCTGCATGGTTTCTGTTGAGAAATCTGAGCTTAATC